GGGTTCGATCCTGGCCCGGGCAAGTACCAATGTGATTTTTTCGAATCATATGTACTTTATAAGATTATTTAGACATCACTGATTAATGCTGATTCCCAAAAGAGGGTTGATGTCAGGCAGGCGGCCGGTCGTAAAACAATCAGCCAAAACTATTCACAACATATAAGGCAGACCCTGGCTAAAGCTGGGAAATTGCCAGGTAGAAGAAGTCATGTGTTCTTGTGTGATATTTGTGTGAATTTAGTTTTATCACACAGTAAGTAACCGTGTGATAATGCACGTTTCCAGCGACCTCAATTTAACGTATCTGCATCGGTGTATTCTGCTTTCATGTTTTATCTGCAGCGTGAAACGTACAGAAATGTCTGCGGCTGCGGTCGGACTTTTGTTATTTATACATACATATAAATAGCAAATAGAACAAAAACTATCTATTGTATAAACACTATATATAATACTTAGCTTACAAAGATTCAATTAAAGTTAACTCACAAAATCAGTGATTCATTAGCCATTTCACGAAGAAAATCTTTAATAATATTTTACACATTATACAAACGGACGCAAATATATTTTAAGTTGTGGCAACAACACGAAACTAAAAGACTAAACATTGAACTTAATATAGATGTTCTGTAAACAATGTTATTAGCATAGCGCTATATTACAGGCTTGTTTAAGATTATATCGGATACTAGGTGCGTGCCGCGGTTTTTGCTGGATGGTTTTAGATTACTGAGAATATAGCTATTGAAGTTATACATACATACAGACATGCAATCCCAAAGAGGGTGCATTCTCAAAGAGGGTTGATGACAGGCAGGCGGCCGGTCGTAAAAACAATTATCCAAAATTATTTACAACATATAAGGCAGACCTTGGCTAAACCTAGGAAATTGCCAGGTAGAAGAAGATACATACATACATACATACATACAAGTACTCAGTTGAATCGCTATAATGAGTAAAATAAAAAAATATATTTTATTACTAGCTAGAAGTGTAAATTTATAATGGAATACGATATTGTTCACGTTTTATGTAAATTCCTCAATATATATTGTATAAGTTCAAGCTATTCTCCTCATTATGTTGCCAATTCAAATCCTATAGCTGCTTTAAGTAGCTTTATATAATACTGTTATACTTATAGTACAGTGGTGTGAGCGCACAAACGTTTATTTTCATACAAACTTTCAAAAAACATATGCTAAGTTAAATCGTTTCACATATTGTTACAAAAATAATTATTTGCTGCAGATACAAACAACAATTTTCTAAACATTTACATATACATATATGTTTACACTTTCATTATTATTTTATACATATAAAAACCAACTATGTTTTACAATTTGACTTACCATACTGTCTTTCTTTTACGAGTAACTTGGCGTAAAAAATTCAGTAAATAATTGAAAAATTTGCTTCATGAATTTAATCACAAATAAAATTTTATTACATAGAAATCCTTAATTATTGGTCTATTTCAATCTTGTACATATCTTTCTCTGTTTACGATTCAACATATCAAGTAGCTTCAACAAATAAACACATTAAGTGGGATTACAATGCTATATGTCTTAATTTTATAACTTATAAAATGTTAACAATAGTTTTGATAGATTCAGAAATATGTATTTACAGCAGCGAGGTCGGAATGAAAGTCGTAAAAATGCTTTATTTATATTTTACAGCAGTTTGGAGATAATCATCTGGATATCCAAAATATTCAAATCAACCCACGTTCATATTTACGATTCCGTTCTGAGTAATACTTAATAAATGTATTTTTGTATTTATTTTATCCGGTATCACCTGCTGGTAAAACATTGTATACTTTAAGATAATTCTATTGAAAAATTAAGTTATTTTAGACTTCAGTGCAAATAAAACAGATATATTAAGATACTTTATATAGTATTTTTCATAATAATAACAGTTTTATAGGTATATTGAGTAAAAACTTGGTTCAACAATGTAGTAGTCTCATTCCCTTTACTAACGCTGACCACGATTTCTATCTTAAATCATTATAATCACTGCGTTGGCGTAAATAACTAAACTAGACATTTGTCGTGCCGGTGTCCGTCATAAATTATATCTGATTAGATACCCATGACTCGAAATTATTAATACCTACTAACTTGTATATATATAGCACTAGCTTTCCGACCGCGGCTTCGCTCGTGTCGAATTCTATATCGCGTTTCTAAGAGAATTTTTCAAGAGTCTGGGATAAAAACTGTTCTTTCTCAAGGTCAACTCTATATCTATACCAAATTTCATTAAAATCAGTTCAGTAGTTTAGGCGTGAAAGCGTAACAGACAGAGTTACTTTCGCATTTATAATATTAAGTAGGGATATCTCATTTACTTGAAAATCGTTTTAGTATCAAGTATACATTTTAATAAAGAGTATGTTCATATGTTTCTGATTTCATCAAACGCAAGGATATAACTTTATAACCAATCTACTTTGTCGTATAACCTTATCTACCAATGAATTTGAACCGAGAACCAATTCAACACGAATTGAATTATTATTTTCCATTTAATTCTAAAGTTCTCAGCAGTTCTTGCTTGTTTGGAATAATCGTCTTCTATGTTTCCTACAAGCGTTTGATTTACGCTCTAATTTATACGATCTAAAATAAGAGATTATATTTTCATTAATGTTATATTTGTCAGTATATTCGTTGTATAAGCTAGGAGTATTGACGCGAATACTTTATAGAGTCATATTAAAAAAGACGTCTTCAATGAAAAGATGGATTCAGTGGTTAAACACCGTAAGCCGGAATGCGAGGATTAGACGCTATGAAACTCCAACGGCTTTGAGATTCTTCTAGAATATTATTTCTGTATACTTTATATATAATAAAAATATGCCTTAAAGTGTTTTAAGCAATATAATGATTATTAGAGAACCTATATAGATATTTCTTGTAGGCTGACTTGAATTCCAGTTACGGCAAAAACTTCTATGTGTGTCCATTAATAATGTACAGTAATATCATATATACTCATTATATAATATCGCGTGTGGAAATTGAGTAATAAAAATTAAAAAGAAACTTCATATGTATTAAAGTTATAGAAATAGTGTAGTTTTATTAAACGGCACCCCGCAGTCTGCTTTCGTGGCTTCGGTTTGCCAACCGAGGGTACACAATAAACGTAGACTTCAAACAGTCCAGAGTTGAAAAACTGTCAAATATTATAGTTTTTTTGATTAAAGATAAACATTTTACACAAAAAATACAAACTCGAAACCAAAATTGAGACATTTTAGTGAGTTAATCACTGTTGAACACACTTTTATTGTCAACATTCTTCTTACACGTCTGAGCTTGGTCATATACTTTCGTTTTATTGATACCTGCTTGCATAAAAAGCATTAATTTCAAATACATGATGTATATATTAAGTTATGTATAATAAATTAAAATATGTTGATTAATTTTATCTTAAAAACAAGAAACAAGACGCCTCCGTGTAATAACTGAAAAATATAACATCCGTTTTAAATCTTATAATTGATATTAAATTAATTAATGTCCATTTTGTTTAATTTTTATGCCACTATTAATTTAAAGATAACATACAATGTATGATTTAAAATGAACCTTAATTTATATGGAATACGGTTTATTATACCAATGTGTTGTAGATGTATGCCTTAACCTTGAAGTCGTTCATTCACACTCAGCGACAATCTGCCAAATCTCACGATTTTATATACAAATATATTAATAATCTCGTAATCACAGTATTTGTGAGTCGGTGCGATTTATATAATTCTTATTGTGACTCATATTACATTCCTGTGTATTGTTTGAACTCACGTCATTAGATCTTTAATAGAAGCTCGTCTGAATATTATTAGTTATTCATTTGATTGGAAAACTACGAAAATTATTTCGGTAATTCCAATATAGGTTAAGCAAATACGTATACGAGTATTATATTTATATTAAATTTATAGAATATAATCAACATCGCAAAACAAGTTCGTGTTTCATATAAAAAATGATATAAAAACGAGATTCAATTACAGTTTAAAGAATGAACCATTGTGTGTGATGATTTGCTGAGGACCTGATGCTTCAGAATCACTCACCTCTCAGTTCTTGGACCAGTTCCAGTATATTCTAGTAAATATGACCTCGCCTTTGTAATAAAATCCCGGGATATCTTGACGTGAATTGTTGTTATTGTAAGTTCAAGTTGAGTTTTTTTGTTGAAATAGTTTGCGTTTTTAATTAACCAAGTAGGTTTTTTGTTATAGAGAATAATGAACATAGATTATTTAAAAAGAATATCGCTATTACTTGCAAAAGTAGGGTCACAGAGTAAAAATTTCAGTCGGACAAAATGAAGTTATCCAAAGATATTCCGACTACAGCTATAAGTGATTAAATTGAGTTTCCTCAGCTGTGACCCTCGTCATAGGCACCTGTTTTATACGACATATTCCGTGTTATTTACGTGAGCTTTTACATTTATTACGTACGCCTGGCCTTTAATCCTTCATGCCTTTCTTAAAACCTAAAGGGCATTGGAGCAAATGATTCTGAATTTATATAAACTCATTTCAAATGTTGCTACAATTTTTTGCATGTCTACAGTATAATGTAACGGCGTGCTGCTAAATACAGTTTTTCTGATTTATTTTTTATGAAGTTGGTTTTTGTCCAATATAGTTAATATCGCTCGTATAATATGTATAAAACTATATACAGTATCAAAAGTTTAAGAAAAATTTAATTATTTTTTTAATGATTTTTATGCTCTGCCAGTATTTCTTGTTGGAGTTTATGACAACTGAAACATATTGATATCATAATTGGACTAGTTTTTGGATTTAACTGGAACATTTGTTATATCTAAATCTTCATATTGCATTGTCTGTCGTTTACTTTTTTCCATGTATTTTAGCTATAGGTTCGTTTGTATTCAGCCAATGTATCCTAAATTAAATTTATTTTCGTGCACAGGTTCTATATGCGGCGGACAGTGCTGCAAGCGAGGTGGTGAGCTAAAACTGAGGAGTGTGTTGAGAAAAACAGCTGAAGAACGAGTGTCCAGCGCCACGAAACCTATAACGGAACTACTACTGGCAACTAGAAGAACACTTGAAGGTAAAAGAGGTTTTATATATCAAATAATTTTTTTATCTATAACTCTCTTCAAAACCGAAACCAAATGTCATGTGTCACGAGCCTATTTGAACCGAAATGTTTTTAGTCTGTGATTCGCCTTAATTTATTTTAAAATATTTATGTTTTACTGCATTCATTCCAATATTAACTAAGCGGTTCGCATTATAATAAATATTTGGGCATTAAAGAACATACAAAGCTATTTAAAATTATCACTTTCAATATACATTTGTATATAATAATCGTATTATATGAATAAATTATATATCTATACATATAAAGTTTAATTGGAATTTTAATATTAATATGTAAGATTATTAATGATTATAAGCAATCAGTTTTATCACAACTTCTATCATATAAACGTTTGACACGTCACGTTCTCCGCTAACTTGCGCTAATCTTTGTAACAGGAAAAATTAGTTTCTCCTATTATGATATTGTTGTCAAAGGATATTCAATTATATTATTAATAACATAAAGCACAGATTACAATATTGTATTTACTTTGATTTGATTTATGACTCAAAACAAACGAACACAACCCTTCAATCAGAACGTAGACAATACTCAGTTTTTGGATAACGTTTCATTAAACAATGGCCAAATGTTACGTATCAAGTTACAGCTGGCAACTAACTATTACAACTGATAATACGTCATATAATTGTCACCTTTATAACAAAGATATAAAGGTGCTATTTCTATGAACGATTTTATTTATAAAAGTAAGAACATATGTATAGACGATACTTGTTTTAGAAACATTTGTATCGCTCCTCACCGCCCTCTACCGATGTAAATATTGTTTTAATATGTACCATCGATAATTTTGTCTATGCTTGCTTAATAAACTTACGCTCGAAATAAAATCGATTATTTTATAAGCTTAATCGAATATGTCATTTATTCGTAGTTGTGAGTTTAGTTTTATTAACATGTATTTTCATATTAATTTAATGATACGTCCATTAAACGTTTAATTGCTGGCTGAGTCGTTAAAGTGAGAGATCCAAGCATCATTTTAATGGCGGGTTTCATTTTGTAAATACATAACTCTGATAAACTTCTGTTACCCTTGAGAAGTGTGTTTATAAATCACGGCAGTTGTAACTTTACGGCGGCTACACATTGGACATAAATCATTTGAAGTTCTCTAATACTTAATTAATATTCAATTAACTATTTAAAAGAATAGGTATTATTATAATTTTTTACATAATTATATAAATATTGCAACGTATAGAAACTCCTTTTTAGTTTACCATAATAATAATTTTGACATTAGCTATACGTCATTAATGTATTCAAAATGGTAGGGGAGGCAAAGGATTACTTATTCAGCCATATCTACGTCACGGTGCTTCCCGCTAGAGACTTCCTTCTCACGGATCTGTGGGGATAATATTATCAATGGGGCCACAGCATCATGAATATTGAATATATTCAACATTAAATTATGTTAAGGATACTTGATATTTTATATGTATGAATAACACTTTAAATTTGTTACGTAGGCAATATAGTTTTTATATAGTATAAATTAAAACATCCTTGAGATAAGGATTAAATCCTTCATGGACTTTATATTCTGAAAAGGCAGATCATTTTTTTTGACTTAGACTCAAAGTACACAATGAGTAAGGGGGCTTTTTGCTTTTTTTCTGTAATATTCTCTATTTTAAATAGTTTTTTGTGTTGTGCAGGTTAATTTAATTATTTAAATTATATAATATTTAAATTATATAAATATAAATAATTATATAACTAAATAATAAATTTATGATACAATTAATTAAGTGTTACGTACAGCACAAAAACCTGCCAAGTTCAAATTGAGAAGTATTATAATTTTAGATATTTTTAACCAAGCACCTACGTATTTTCACAACTATACCATATTTTAAGTTGGGTGTATGGTAAAGTGAATTTCGGTCAGATGGACCGTTGACGTGAATAAGGTGGCGGGTAGTGGCTGGATGTGGAAGGCAGAGGACTGGGTGTGGTGGCGAGTCTTGGGAATGGCAAATGTTTACCAGTGGATCATGCTGTTGATGAAGATGATTATGATCGATTTCAAAGTGCATCTAAACTTGGCATTAGATTGGATTTCACCCCTTTTTTAGGCAAACAATTAGCCGATTGGAACTTGGCCCCCTTTTTAACAGGCATGTTTTTGGTGAGATTTCAATACTTTTTTTCAAGAAATCGTACATACAATCGTACTATACAGCCGTACAATGCATAACTTACTGCATGAAACATACAGCTACCATCTGATGGCATAGGAATTACCCTATGTGGTATATCTCCGCCAACCACCGAAAGATGTACAATTTCCATCGTTGGTAAATGAATAGTAGAAAAGAAATAGAGTGAATTTGTGCTTTTAACACACACAAGTAATCAATCAATAAGCAATATCAAAATTAATCCTTTAGCAAGTCAAATCAGTGATCCATTTAATCGTAATCGTAACCATATATAAGATATCAAGACATAAGTGTAGAAAGAAATAGAAAGAAATGACCATCGATTCCTTATCGACTTTCATTCATATATACTGCAGACAAAACAATATCGCGATTCAATTATACCGCTACTGCCATCTATCGAAAGTAATTTATAACAATAGAAACCTGATTTTTTAGGTAAGCAATATTTAATTAAGTTATACAGTGTGCATTATGTATACATGACAATATTTTATATCCCTTATATGTATATATATCAGTTCTTAAGAAGCGCCCCACACTTTTTTCACAATAATATTAATTTAAAAATAAATTAGCAAACAATAAATGGTATTTTTGTGAAAAAAAGCGTGGGGAGCTTCATATATCACTTCTTGAGAAGCGCCCCACGCTTTTTTTTCAATAATACGATTTATTGTTTATTTTAAACAATTTAAATTAAATTGATTTTCAAGGTTGTAAAGGTTAAATTAGTTTCCACGCGGTTTCTTTCATCATTGGAGCGTGTTTTTTAGTTTTTTTTTAAACTATATTTATTTTTTAGTTTAATTTATCACCGATTGATAGATGTACTCATATTATTAATTATTAATATTTCATTATTATGTATTTTATTGTGCTGAGCTGAGCGCCTATATAAAGGTTTTGATTACCTGTCAGTGAGTCAGTGCCAAAATTAGCTATTTTCACAGGGTCATATTTCAGGATCTACTGAAGCTTTATCTATGAAATTTGGCATACTGCTTTAGGACTAGTATATGATTACGTAGGTACAATTTTATCTCTGTACTTGCAATAGACACTGAGCTACAGGGGGTCAAAAGTGGGTCGAATTTATTAAAAATTCGATATTTAGAGTTGAGGCAACTCACGCTTGACCGATTTCTTAAATTTCTTAATTTTTTGTTAATCTACATGTAACACACAACCTGTGTACCAAATTTCATAATGCTAAAACAATGGGAAGTGGCCTAGAGGTTTTGATTACCTGTCAGTGAGTCAGTGCCAAAATTAGCTATTTTCACAGGGTCATATTTCAGGATCTACTGAAGCTTTATCTATGAAATTTGGCATACTGCTTTAGTTCTAGTATATGATTACGTAGGTAAAATTTTATCTCTGTACTTGGAATAGGCACTGAGCTACAAGGGGGTCAAAAGTGGGTCGAAACGGTTCGTGTAAATATAGTGCACGGCATGCGCCGGCCTGTGGAACTTGGCCGGCGCACTACCGTGCGCTTAGATTGGTTTTTTAGTAACAGTAGTTAACAGTAACGAATTTCCAGAATAAACATTGGGTTTGCGATAAAATCTTTGTCAACTATTTTCTTTCTTTCAACATATAAATTTACGAACTGAAAATAAAACTTATAAAGAAAAAATGAATAAATATATTCATAGTTCATACATTATATAACAAGTTTGTCATCAACATTAAAAAGCAAAGACGGAATTAACTCTCAGTGGAGATTCAAAAAGCTCCTCCATAGCAATAATGACTGACAAGCCGTACAAAGGTTCGCGATAGCGTTTAGCTACAAAAATACATTAGCGAGTTCAACGACCTCGGTAATGAGCAAGTTTAAACAATACGCGCTCACCCTTGTACAGGAAATAACGAGGGATCTGCTACCAGGCACACTAGTTGCTTACAAACCTGAATAGAAGATATTAAATTAATATCTATATTAAATATAGATAATATATAAATATATACAAATGTCAAAAATGACGTAAACATGTAGATAATAAAAAAAAAGTTATAATTAACAATCCTATTATATTCAGCTTATCGTATTTTTTTTTAACATTATTATTCATAGCCATTTTAATTGCCGTTCTGCCAAAATTGTTAATTAAAAAAGTAAATTCCCATCACTAGTTATATATAATGTTTTTTTAACTACAATGTTTTATTAAAGAGGTCGTGTGACAAAGAGTATGAATAGATTTGAAGGGTTATTGTGTTATATAAAACGGGACCACCCTTAGACCCTCATTAGGCTCTCACCTGCTCCAGCTATAGAAATTTAATTACGTGTAAACATATAATATAGCAAATATAATATAATTTTATATAGTAGGAAGGGAGGCTTAATAAATAAAACATGGAAGTATCTAAGAAATTGTTTCACGATAAGCAAACCAAACTTTTCCTCGGAGTATTGTTGCTATGATTACCAAAAGATACGTTTTTTTAACAGCTTCGTTGCTTCACAAAAAGTTAAGAAACGAAGCCATCAAAAAGACGATCTCCTGGAGTATCTCATTATTCCAGTTTCAGAGTCTTAATGCTTGTTGCGTTGAGAATTGTTTTTTGTTTAGCTCGATATCAAATATGCAAATAGAAGTCTGTCGCAGAAACTTTAGAAAATCTTCATTTGTTATTTAGATTACGATTTAACAAATAAAGCTACTTTGTATTTTATTGTCACTAACGATGGTTGTAAAATAAAGTGTTTCGTCATCAGCCTATCAGAGCCCACTGCTGAGCAAAGACATCTTCTCACATAGAGAAGGTTTGAGCATTAATCACCACGCATGCTCAAGACGGGTTGGTGATTTCAAACTTATAGTGAAATTATAAGTCCAGGTTTCCTCACGATGTTTTCCTTCACCGTCCGTCAGTGGTGTCTAAATACTATTGAAAATACATATGACTTGGAAAAATCACATTGTTACTTGCCAGATTAAAGTTTAATAGAATCGTATTGACTCAGATTAACAGATCTTCACAGCGTACACTATTCGATTTTCTCTACATCAGACCTTAACCATTTCGTCAACAAACAAATTCGTCCGAGACAAATATAAATCAAATTTTATTTTTCAATCCGTCGCCTGTAACAGTAACTCATTTCACGAGCGAACCCTTGGCGTGTAAAATTCGCTCCAAGGATGTCTAGAGGTCCCTGGAATACGAACGATACTTGTAATTCAATATGAAATAAAAGGATTTCGTTGACACCTACAACATAATAATAATGGTTTAGAACTACTTACATATACAACGATCACATTGTATATGGAAATCACTTTATTAAATAGATTTGTTTTCAGAATATTTCTCTGATAAATATAATATAATTAAAATACATCGTAGGTTAGATTATTTCTTAAAAATTTCCTTTGAAACTAGATATATTTTTATTAAAACTGTCACTCCATTACCGATAAATAACGACTCCATAAAGACCTTATCTCAATTTTGATAATATCTTAAAGTACCAAGAAGTTCTTTAACTTTATGAAAATTATGATAAGAATAAAAGCTTCGGAAACAAGATTAACTAGAAACGAAAATAATTCTTCTGATATGAAAAATAATGTTATAGCTACAATATTTAGAGTATAAAAATAATAAGTGACGTACAAGATTAAATCTGAAGGTATAAGCAAAACCAATATGCTTAGCGTCAAAGATAAGTGTTTTAATTAAATAAAAACTGTCTTCTCTAGATAATTGTAATGTTGGTGGGCTCTGCTACAAATGTTAAGAATGAATTCATATCTGGTGATATGCGATGAGGCGTTGATGCACGGTGCCGCTCCCGCATTCCAACAAGATAACACAGTGTTACACAGGACAGCTGGTGAAAACCAAATAGCATGGACGCCTTGCATAATTATTTACACAGAGATTATATAAGACGTCTTTGTTTAACTTTGAGTTTAGATATGCAACAGTTTATTACACATGTTCGTGTGGATTAAGTTCTCTGTGTATTTTGAAGGCGTTCACTTAAATGAAATGGTTATATTTTATTTACTCCTTTAAGTGGTATGAGACTTTTAATTAGGACAGAGTAACGTATCTCTCATTTTGACTATTATATTGAAGATAGTTGATCTGTCTCAACAATAGATATTTCCAATATCTTCTTACTTTTATTTTGTAGCCTACTTTGTTAATATATAATCGTGATTCATTGTCCTCAGAGCACCTGACAGCGTTGTCTTATCAGTCACAGAACAAAACATCTGTACTCTTCTCACAACTGTATCGAAGTCAGGCATCACGAACACACGTGCCACTATCAGCTCTTTACGATGACATCAGACTACTCATCAGACCTGGTCGAGATGACGAGCTCGGCTCTCCACCACCGACAGACATGCGTATCAGTACGAAGAAGTTCTTCAGAGATGTCTTCCCGGTCGCCTACCAGAACGTCCTCCGGCTGGACAGCAAGCAGTTCACGCCGGAATACGAAGCATGTCTTCAAGATGCTTACGAGGCTGTCCAGCCGTTCGGAGGTGTACCACAGCAAGTAGGATTCAATTTATTATTTCTAAATAATCCTATAACTGACTTTGATTCTATAACTTAAAGTAAATTTATGACTTGATTTAATTAATTCCAACTTAACACAATAAATAATTCCTTCATTCATAATTAAATTCATATCCAACAAAGCATAGAGAAAATTCTTCTTAATTCAGATTTACATATAAAAGTCAATTGTACTATTGAGCCTTTATGTACAAGAAAGTATAGTTACTACTAATTTTACCTACAAATTCAATTGTACCATTGAGCAGTTCAGTGATATTTATTGGTTAAATGAATCCTTCCTTTAACAGCTTGGAGCGTCAATGTCTAGATCTTTGGAATCGGCACGCGCTTTGCTGCAAGTTATATCTGTTGGTGCGAGTGCACTGACGGCCAGCGAACAAGTGCTGTCGAGTGCTGATGAGGAATGCGGCAACAAGCTGCTGATGATGGGAGGCTGTTCTAGATGTAAAGGACACGATATAAGCCCGTGTCGGAACTATTGCTTAAACGTGGCTAGAGGGTTAGTTAATCATCTTAATAAATACGATATAACTTTACGTTACTTTACTTTACTTTTAAAAGATTGTTTTTATATTAATAGTTATGTAATACTTTCGTAATAAATTATAATTACGAACTGCATTACGACCTTGAAATTTCGCTACAGATACTAATACTGCTCTTGACCATGAGTTGAATCACATTCTATATTGTCTGTTCGAACTTAAATTAATTTGAATCATATTAGTATGAAAAAAAGCCTGAATAATAATGTGTGTTACAAAATAGACAAAAAATTATATAGACGGAACTGTAATAAGTTTAGAAAATTGATGCGATCGTCACTATTATTTTATTTTTCAAATTAACATATTTTTTTATTTAATATTGACAAAAGAACGGTGCTGTTAAAATACAAAGTCTTCTTTAAAAGAATAATAATAATAAATAAATACGCGCAGTTTTCTCCACATAGTACTCAAGATTATAATGAGATCGTTGACATTAGTATAATATTCCACGATTCCGTGCGAATGTAGCCTTAGCATTAAATATATAACATATATCAAAAGAACACTAATTAGCTAATTATGAAAAGCTTGACGCCGTAAGTGTATTGAAAGTCAGATTATAAGTTTCACACACGATGAAACTTAATCGTTAAAGATGAACGGCCTGGATTTGAACTCTGTTAAACATGAAAATAATGATCAGCATGTGTTGAGATTTAGAAAAAATCTTCTATATTAATACAATCGATTTAAAAGCTACAAATATAGACCAAAATATCTTATTATTATCGAGATAAGGAAGGTTTGAAATTAGGTTCAATTAAACAAATATGTAGTTAGTTCTTTCTTTAGTTTAAAACAAGACAATTACGAAAAATATTGCATTGAACGTCAAAGATACAATGTGCTTTTTGATTAAATAAATACTTAAATATACATATAAAAGGTTGGTTTGATATAAAAATGATTAAGTTTTTAAATCAGTACGTAAATAAATTAGAATATCATTCACAAAACTAAAAGGTACCTTTTTGCCACATTCGTGGTTTCTGTGAAGGTCTACCTCACTAGATTTTAATATTCGTGCTAAACGATATTCCAAATGTTATCTAATATATTGAAATCAAAAGTATGTATGTTTACTTTTTAGTTAAGTTTATAAAATAAATTATAATCGGTTCATATAAAGGAAATTAGAGATCGAAAACATTAGTATGCTTATAACATATTCCCACTTTAAACATAAGTCTCTATATTATTTAAATTAAAATCCTAAAATAATCATAAAGCCTATCAAGAAAAACAAAAAAATATACTATTTTACATAATTTAAATATTATTTTTATCTGTCACTATTATCTATTGCAAAATCTCTAGATTAACCTCATTGAATAAAATAAATTTTGGTCAAATAAAAAATTTAACCATTTTTATTGTCCCTTATATTTATGGTGAAACGCAGTTAATTTTCAGTGTACAATATTCAAAAGATGTGATCTCCACAGGTGTATAGGATCCCTTGTGGTTGAGTTGGATGCTCCATGGGTTGGTTACGTTGAAGGAGTGGAGAGGCTGGCGAGGGCTGATGCTGATGCAGAGCTTCGTTCACTGGACGCCAGAGTATCTGAAGCTATCATGCACGCTTTGGAGAACCACGTCATACTTGAGAAAAAGGTTAGTGTTTTATACTACCATGTGTAACAACTTCTTCACTGTGGACCTTAAATTTAAACATACAAAGCAAGGATATAATTTCACAAGACAAGTTTCTATAACTTTCTCAAATGATAGTATCAACTTTGCTTTATGAATGGAATGCTAAGAACACTCTTGTTAAGTCGATGCTAACTTATAGAGGAGCCCAAAGCTTATCATATCTTAATAAATTTGTCAACAAGGATACTCGTTAGACGAATACAAGTGAAGACTTGTCTTTGAAATTTGCTTCTCATCTCCCGGGGCGATCACTTAAATAATTGTTCAAGAAACTGTAGCTAATTGTCGTCCAAACTTTTCCTGGAACGCCTCGTTGTGAAACTGAACACGTTTCAAGTATAGTCAGAATCGGCTCCCAGCTCCACAACTGCCAACTTTTAATTTATGCAGCACACATACATATTTGGCTTGTTACAATCTATCAAGTCTTATGTGAGTTTGTAACAACTTGAATTAAATCCGAATCTCCAAGTGATGTATAATAACTTATATGAATAGTCTCTGAAGTTGTAAGGACTATTCACACCATATTACAGTTCAGTCCAATTACTGTAGACTGTAGAGTGAGACGTTAAAATATATTTTTATGCAATTCGACGACTCTCATTGTATATTGAGTTAAAACTTCATCCATTCAGAATAAATTGCATGTTAATTAAATTGCAAAACAACGATGTAAATTTCGTAGCGCAATACAGAATTGGGTCCGAACGATAATGTTAGTAGTAAAATATGATCACAAATATAATATAAATATCGTGAACACTAATAGGATTCGAACATTTCGCACACAATTGCACATTATTGCACACACAGCGCTGTGTGATTTGTGTCGCTTGTTAGGATCGCACAGCAATCGTTCACCAAAAATGTATTTCCATTGAGAACTGTTATGTTCGCAATAAAGTTATCGAGGAACTGACACAATCGAAGCACTTGGCACCACGCCACGCTCCGACTGTAATCTGTTAAATGGGACCTTTCAATTATTACAGTTTCAGATGAGTTTTGAGAACGAAATTCATTGACTTATCAATTATTGATTACATAATATTATACTTATTAAACTAAAACAATAAAACGACATTATTCCAACATCACGTTATTTATAATCGAAGATCTAAATCACTTCGCGACACTCTATAAGATAAAGGGAAAATTTCAATCAACATTACAAAAGTTACAGTCGTATTATCGTAAAATGGAATCTTTCTTTGGATTAAGTTTATTCGGTGTTATGAGACTATAAAACGTGGGCACGTCAGGTCAGACGTGGGCGCGGGTCGGCCGGGCCCACGGAGTACCCACTTGGATAAATTAACGTCTCGGTATTGTCTCGTACTTCGCATTTTGCCACTAATCAGAATCAGAATAACTGATCTATATGCATATATTTCTTTCATTATCGATCTTTAATTCGCTGTGTAGATATATATTAATTTAGAATAATTTGTTGTGGTATTTATTTTTGATGAATTTTTAGTTTACGTTTTCATAAACTAAAACAATTTGTGACTTTCGCGATTATTCATTTAAATGAAACTACATATAATAATATTTTTCAGATTACTATGCGTATTTCACTATTTGAAAAACTATATACTCCTGACGTTTCGGTTACTTTGCAGCAACGCTGATTACGTGAGACGATATGTGAAAAATAAAATACGCGTAAAAAACTATCAGTTTTATTTTAAAAAAATATCAATGATAAAATTATTAGTTTGGAGGCAAGAAAAAAGGTTTCCTGTGTCTAACATAAGACAATAAGTTTAAATTGTATCAACGTGGACACATCCTGTGACTCATGATACATCATTTGTCTCCAAGGACACTCAGTCCGGACCAACAGTCGGTCATCACTAGGACATAGGAAAAGGAACTGTTTAATATTACTGACGTGTATCTAATATTAATATAACAAACTTAAACGTGTCATGATTATAATGATGAATAGAATAGACCTTTGCCTGTTTAATTTAAAAATCGATTTTGACATATAGGCATCAAAAAAATTAAGTGTCAGCTTTTTTTAAAGTTAGTCTCAAAAGGACTCGAATCCAATCGTAAAAACATTAAAAAAAAATAGCTTGAAGCTGTAACAATGTTTGGTTTGTGTGATTGGTTTAAATAAGTGAATCTATATAAGGTATAATAACGCGTTACGTGATTTAAATCGGTTATTTGGAAGAGTTTCGTCCAACAAAGCAGTTTCAGGAGCGAGGAAAAGCTTTTATTATAAAAGGCGAGTCGCTGGCTGTAATGTTGACTTTCAATTTTCATGGTAATGACGTTGGTTCGGATTCCGCTCTCGACGGCCCCAGCTGCTACCATTATATTTGATTTAATATGTTTTAAACTTATTATATATATATATAGCATTATCTGTATTGTATTCAATTTGTGAGTTAATTTCTTTTTCATATAGGTTACAGGTGAAGTCGACCGATATCCTTTAAGAGAGGATGGATCCCATCATTCCTAACTGAATTGACTATGGAACCCCAAATTAGTTTGTTAGGGAAATTGGTATAAAAGGAAAATTAGTATATAAGGGAAATTTAACAATTGACTGTTTACTACGACTCATTACTATATATAGTTACTGGCAGTTTTGTAGTTTAATATAATAAAGCAATTAATCTTCTACACAAAAATATCAAAAATAATACAAAATTGGGACACAAAACAAAAATAAAAGGGCAATTGACAAAAAATCTGTAATTGAGAAGGGTTAGGTTTAGTATATGGGTTTCCATAGTCAAATCGGTTAGGAATGATGAAATCTATCCTCTCTTAAAGGATATTAGTTTAAATTTTTTTCCCTATTAAAATTTTATCTCATTCAACTTAGTAAGATAGTCCAATATTTTTTCCTATTTTAAATCGAAACTCCTAACACGAAATTAAACAATAAACCCATTAAATTAAATTAAATTAAATTTTCGACAATGACACATCGTTGTCATAAACAAGTAAAGTAATCGATACACACAATAAAATTCTTATAGTCATATATATTTGGCAATAATTTAAATAATATAAAGGTCATTGACACGGAAAAGCGGCGCCAATATCAGGTTGTAGTCTAGAGGCGCCCACGCGCTTTCACCAAGGGAAAGAGCGAAGAGACGAACGGTAGACACCCACTAGAAATGTGCATAATGAAACAGGAATAATAACAATCATTAAAATTAAATTACCCAAACATACGGGAGAGGTAATTAACTTATTAAAAAGAAAACATTAAATGTTGTCGCGAAACAGATTGCGTTTAAAGATGATATTAATTTTTATTTTCCAGCCCAAAAATTATACGTAATTTGTTGAAAGTATATACGAAATTAAAATGTATGTCATTTTGGAGGCAATATAAATATGTCGCCGTAGAATTAACTTTTGATTGCGACTGGCTCTACAATATAATTCACTTTAATTTTTAATAAAATCCACTGCATGTATTGTTACTCCGTATCTTTAAAATTATGACATAATATATATATCGGATTTATTACACATTTCGTTGTTTTTAAAGAGAGGGACGCCGGCCTCGCTGACGTAACTAATGTCACTTCTTCTAGTACATTCCATGATATTTTAAAATGAAACTTCAATTGTTCTTAATGCTCCTGTATTTCTCGAAGGTTCTTCATAATTACATACTTCAATGATACGCACTCACTGAACTCTGAACTCTGAATTCTGCCGTCGTGCATCCAGACGTCATATTTATACCAAGATTTAAACATAGTTCTATTCTCCTTTTAAACAATCTTTGATTTCGTTTTTCTTTTAACAATAATCATAAATACTAATGAGGTTTAATAAGAATTGATGACAAGCTCAAATTATTTTCACGTCGCATCCGTTATTAAAGCTGGTAGCGCCGATATATACATGAAGAAATTACATATTAAAATTATTTCAAACTATCCTATAAGCTTTTGTTTGTTATATGATCTACATACTTTAAACTTCATTTACAATGACATAAAACAGCTAACGGCCAATGCGTCATTATTCAAGACATAAACACAAACCTTTATGACATAATTACAGTAAATCACATAAAATAAAAGCTGTTCTGGTCACGAGTCACCAGGGGTCACTCGTGGGCGGCTCGTGATATTGTGCCATCACTAATATACATTTACTTCAATATCTTCTACAATAAATCCAACCCACAGCCGCTGCCGATTCTTTCTAGTTAGTTAGTTTTAACTAAACTAATTAATATCATTCGACGGCGTATTATCATTAATTAGACTGTTTTATGGCAACGTTAAAATTACGATTTAAATAATGTAAGCGGTCACTTAAAATGTCATTAAAGAAACATTTAACATAAATTAATGGATTAGATATATATTTACAAAGAATCTAAGCCGGTTTTAAGTAAAACTGTATTGAATAAGCTATTGTTATGTGAAGGCGCCTTAATTAATCTTATAAAAATTCTCGTGTCGTTGTGTTAGACGGAGAACTCCGAAACGGCGAGACCGATTTTGATGAAATTTTGCGAGCATATTGAGTAGATCTGTGAATCGGACTACATCTATTTTGCATACCCCTAAATCATATATATTATTATTATTTTCAGACGAAATTTTATGTTTTTATTTTTTCATACTGTAGCATTAAAAATACATACAGTACAAAATTTTTACTTTTCTATCACCAACCCCTATTTTTATATGCCAAAACAACATTTGCCGGGTCAGCTAGTAATATATATATATATATATATATATATATATATATATATATATATATAAAATTTCTGCTAAATCTATATGTATCTCATACCCTGTGGTTCAACTAATTGATAATGCATGTTACCAAAATACGGATTATAGGAATACCGCTTACTGGAATATACTAAACAGTTAAGCCGATCGTTTGTTACGGTTTATAAATTAACAAGCGGTTTATACATTAGTTTTAAACTAGGTTTTGAAATCGGATTTACTCTATATATATAAAAATTTAATCTCCCTACATACTATGTGTGTATTATCTTTTCGCTCGGATAAAATAAATGATAATTTGCGAAGATTAGTGAATGGTAAACTAGCTACTCCCTGTTTTCAGTTAGACGTTCAAAGCTGTAGTAATTATGATAAAAGTTCTTACATTTTTTCTTGACTTAATACATGAACTCGTAAGTTTAATTCCGAAGTTTAACAAATACATATACAACTATACATATACTTTTATTAAAACCAAATAGTCTAACTTTACATACATTAAAATAACGTTAAAATTATGTAATAATTATGAAATCTGAGTAACTTATTTAATATAATCTTCATATATCTAAAGTAGGCAGACACTTTCGGGACCGTGTGTAGGTTTTAAGTTGTGTAATCTCAAAAACATTAAATTTCCTATGTGGGTTGAAATCACGTTAAAAAGACATTTTAATTTTATTCATAATTACTCGAAGATGACATCGTAAAAGACAAGCCTTGCTGTGGAATGTCGTAACTTATTAAAACACTCTTTAAAATAGATTGTGTATGTACATTATTATAATATTATAAAATTCTTTCATATGTAATATACTATATGAGTCTTCTTCTTCCTCTTCTACCTGGCAATTTCCCAGGTTTAGCCAGGGGCTACCCTACATGTTGTGAATAGTTTTGGCTAATTGCTTTTACGACCGGCTGCCAGCCTGACATCAACCCTCTTTGGGAATGCATTAATTAGTGATGTCTAAATACTCTTAGAAGTACATATGACTCGGAAAAATCACAGTGGTACTTGCCAGGATCGAACCCGGCCTTTATGCATGAGAGGGGCCTTTTAAGCACTAGGTCACCACAGACTTAGATCTATATATGAGTGCCTCTTAATTATGACAAAACCGTCATACAATTCGTACATGCCAGTATAAGTTCAATCAAATACATGGATTTAAAAAATATCGATTTAACATCAAAAATATATCGATTTTAACGTATCTGTAATATGATTCCTGTTAAGTGGTCACTTTATCTTTAATTAATATTAAGATTGAGACGCTAACGTACGTCTAATTGACTTCGCATGCCGCCTGCAATCAATGGTTCATAAAGTGTTTTAAAACCGCGCTCAAATTACAACTACATATCATTGTACGATACACCTCGCGTCCTACTTATTATTTTAATGGAGTGCAAACTTATATATGTTTTTATCATTATTTTATTACATATGTTAGTTAATTTACTTTTTTATTATATGATACCTTATATATAAGACGCGGTTAATAGTGTTTTTTTTAATCGTTTTCTGACAGCTGTCAAACCAAATTAATATTTACATGGAGACGTGAGCGTGGTCGCATGAAATATTCATGAATCACAACGGACGAAGCGTCCGGTGTTACAATTATTATAATTAAACATCGAAACAATGAGCTCACTCACACTCGGACCAACAACAACTTATTGAATCAAATAAATACGAGTATGTACTGGCAGGCATTACGTAATGTATTACACATACGCTTATCCGATGTAAGCGAATATTTGCGTTTAATTATCATTGATTACAAGCCAGTATTATATGGAATCATTTAAAATATTTTATAATCTACAATAAAAACTCTTTAGTGTTTTTTCGCGCCATTTTTGTTTTTTTTTTTTTCATCAAATAGCAGATGTTTGAAAATAGAATCCATTGAAATATAATAGGCAGGTGGGAGCACAATATGCTCGGAACTGCTTTAAGGTGCATTACGCATAATTCTGTGCAATTTCTGTTCTCTGTGCGGCATGCGACATGCTATTCGCGTCGGGTTATTTGCGTGTCGCGAGCCTGTAAGGGCATTCACACACGCTATTTCCGCACCAGCTTGTGACAAATTACGTTACTGTGATGTCCATTTATCTTCATTTATGATGTTATTGATCGATGTACGCCATTATGATACTTTAATGTACACCAAACTAAAACTAATATTATGTCAATAAACATCGGAGAATTTATATTACATTCCTGTGACGTAATATTTCGAGTAAAAAAACAAAATGTCGGTCTCTAATTAATAGGTACATTAACCCGATATTTTTAAAGAAAAATAATTTCATTGCTCTCTTAATTAGATGTATTTAGTACAAAAGTATTTCTATTTAGAAGCGAGGATGTAAATAAAACGTAATTAGCATGAAGCAGTCGCATATTTAATTGTAAGTTCGCTTTGTTTCTCGGCTAATTTACTCGGAACCAGTTGCTTTGGCGAATTTAAAAAATACATATATATATTACTCATGGAATTTTTGAGATTCGTTTAACTAATGACGTCATTTTTCACTTGCCAGAATTAAAAATGACAAATATAAAAAATGAAATCTCGACTAGATTATTCTGAACGTATGTTTAGTATTAATTTTTGTTTACAATTACATATGTGTTCATAGACAACTATATATTTTTCTGTATCAGGTGCGTCAGGAATGTGGTCCTCCATCGACCATAGAGCTCAGTAACTCATCATCTCCAAGGTCGCCCCCCCCAGCCAGTCGTCGTGATGCTCTCCGCGCTCCACCCCCCGATACTGAACTGCTCCAATTCGCAGCTACCCTCGCCTCCAGTAAGAAACTCTTCGCCAGCCTCTCTGACAGACTCTGCGATGAACCAGACTTCGCTAACGAGGGCAACGAAAGATGCTGGAACGGTGAAACTATTGGAGAGTAAGTATTACGAAAATCTTTATGTATATGAGAAAGTTGTGCTAGTTACAGCATTTATAACTCAAGAACGGCTTTATGGGTTATGCTGAAAATTGATTGAGAGATAGCTTAGAACCAGGAAAAGGATATTGGATACTTTTCATACGATCGAAAAATAAATTTATGAAATCCAAAATCTTATTTACTACCTTTAACGAGGAACAGAGTTCGCCCTATCAGCTATACATTTCAATGACGCAGGCAAAAACTTATTATAATAAGGAAACAAACAAGCATTCATACGTTTATTATATTTTCCATTCTTCATTCAGGTACACGAAAGCATTAGTGGCGTCAGCATCGATAAGTGATCAGAAATACAATCCAGAAATCACGAAGACTTCGACACAAGATTCAAGAGTGGCAGCACTCGGGGACAGACTGCGGCAGGCGAGACAGGTAGAGTACAAAATTATCATAATAATATTTAAAATACCTATATCTTTATAGAACATAAAAAAATATTACTACTGAAGGAGGTCTATAACAAAAAAAGTTTTATTACATAATTATAATAAACGGCACATAACATAAAAGTTTGAACGAAACTTAAAAAAACATTCGTAATAAGTGAGAAATATAAGCCACTTCCACGCATACCGTGATAAATGTACAAAGTTTTATTTCGACACACTATGCAGTGCTGTCTTTATTAATTATTTGAATCAAATTATGATTTTGGCGCTAAAATTTATTTATTAATATTCAGAGAATAAAAGGATAATTTTTAAATCTAATCATATGAAATAATTTAAAAGTATTTGATTATATAACAAGTTTTGATTTGACAACTATTTTTTTAATTCTTTGAATTCATTCACACTGGAATTGTGAAATATTATGCCAATGTCAATATTATGTTTTTATTTATTGAACGAATTATATTGTAATTTTATATATTGTATGGAAAGAGCATGAATGAGTTTGTCCTTAGGTAATAATGGTGATTTTTCTTAAAGACTCCACTTTATTTTTTACCAGAAAGTAGAAAAACACAAAAATAATATAAATAATAATAATCTAAGCATATATACACACTATATTTGAGGGGAATATTTTGCAGTTGTCACTGTCAATAACTTTTCTGGTGCTAAAAAAATATTACGTCAGCATTGTCATTCTGTAAGTGACACTTTGAATGTTCAGTGTCAACTAAAAAATCGGATACCATAGCATAAAAAACAGAATCAGATACTATTTCATTTACCAAACCTTGGAGATAATTAACCAATACTAAGATTTTTATTTAAAAAAAAAACTAATATATTCGAATTACTACGCATTATTTTATTATTAAAAAAAACTTTCGTCTGTCCGTGATCACGGTTGCATCAAAGTAGCCGAAACATCGGGATTATTAAATTATTAGTTAAAATAATAAAAAACTATTAATACATCCAAAAATATTACTTTTATTTGACTAAATAATTGTTGATATAAAATAAACATTCCTCTACTTCCATATTTACATTGATACGAATATACTATTACGCATTTTGAAGACTATATCTATCATTGTTGTATAGTTGCTAGTATCTCACTGGGGGTCAGTGACCGCTGCGGAGTCGTTCATGCAGGGTGATGAAGCTGGTGATGAAGGATCCGGCTCGGGTCGGAGCTACACTGATGATGACGCGACCTATGACGCTGAGGGCTCGGGAGAAGGATCCGGGGATGAGTTCGTTGGTGAGTATTATACAGGGTGTTTTATATACTTGTCGTATATTATACAGGGTTTTTTTTTTAATAGGAAGCCAAAATGATACACAAAAACTCATAAATACATTATAACATGATGGAACATAATTGTTTACAGTTGCGTAGCATCACTTATAGGCTAAATATGGGTTACATAATGTTTAGATCTTACTCCAAAACTTACTATGTGTTTTATATACTTGACGTATTTTATACAGGGTGTTTTATACTTGGATGGATTTTCATACATTCTAAGTTTATAGTAGACTTGGTTATGTTTTTATATACAGTAAGCTTTATACATGATGTTCAATACACTTGTACTGTGTTGTCATACATTAATTTTAGTTCATATTAGAGTTAAATTTGTTCATACATTATACATGGTGTTTGAATTAACTTTTTTTATATGTTTAATTTGAGAGCACACAAAATAAAAAATGTATTGACATTATACAGGTGTTAAAATTTTTGACAGTATTAAATTTTAACTCAATATAAAAATCAATTAACAGGAAGCAGGAGGGAGGACGAAGAGACGACATACTCAGCACCTCCTTTACCGACTGCGGCCGCTTCCCTCGTGACGTCATCGGTGTCCTTCATCTCGTGTGCTGTTTTAATTATTCTAACATAAACTATGAACAGTGATACAGTGAACTAATGAATCTCCATATCAATGTGTGAGTGATATGTGTCGTGCTACATAGTAGTCATGTATTGTGAGGATAGCTTTGACGTTATGTTATGACATCAAGCCGCTGTGGCGCTTTAAAAATACGCTGATTTATTTATTATAGAAAATATGTAATACATACAATAATGATAGATTGTACGGAACCGGCTTCTAATATATAATGTATAAGCATCAATTGAGATGAATCTCAACGGTTAAGTACAATTGTTCAATGAGATCTGTTTTCTGATGTTCAAGTAGTAATTTATTAAATTTTCATGTGAGTTTCGAATGAAACCGCTTATTAAAAGACAATCATGAATTTGACGAGTAAATGGAATTAGGTAAGTATCTGTGTAGCTAGTCTAAAACTAGTATTTAAACAAGCTTCGAAAAATTATAACAAAGATTTATATAGATTAAATAATCATATATCAGTCTTTATAATCATGACAGTTGTAAATAAGTTATTTAATGTTAACCGCGACTGGATTTGACAGTTTTCATTTGACAGGTTGTCATTTCAGTGTTGCTGTTTAAAAAAAATATCAAATTAAAATATAATTAATCGATAGTCATTTAACTGGCAATATTAATATGTTTAGACGAGAGTGAGACAGACTGTACAGTGAGTATGAAGTCCTACTTGTTTAGGTGCTTAGCTAGTATCATGTTTTGTTGCCATATTATTTTTACGATTATAATTATTTATATAATAAAGTCAAAAAAAAATATTATCTTATATTATGTGATAATGATTTTTAGTTGTAAGTTTATTTTATACTATATTTATGTCATTTTAAAATTACTCTACGGAGCTATTCTTAACACAACTGCCTTTTGTAGAAATTTTGAAGTTTTCAGTTTATCAAAGACTTTCAATTGATGTAATTTTTTTTATGTATCAGATTTCATGAACTTTTTTGAAATTTTTGTTATGTAAAAAAAAAATTTTCTTTTTTAGAACAAACACAATAATTGTATATGCTTATTACCGTGTAAAGAAGATATAATTTTAGTCGTAATTCCAACTATATTGCAATAAATACGTAAATGTTAGTAAATCAAAATTATATTAGATATGCTATGTGGATCATCATGTGATGGTGGTTGGAGGATTTTGAATGTAAAATATTGTTGAATCTTATTGAGGGTGAGGTGGGAGGTTGAGGGAGATAGGAGGAAGGGAAAGAGGAAAGAGGAGGAAAGGAGGTAACGTTACCTTAGCAAGTTTAATGACATTGTTTCAGCGATAGATCGCTTTGAATGTAGTCCTATCTCCCGTAGGTCGAAACGAAATCATTTGTAAATATTGTTGGACAGATAGTGTGTTTATATCATGAAAATAAACTCTGTACCATAATTACTATCTTTTATTTTATTCATTATATTTTTATATGGCAATACTGTGTTTTGATCAATGTTGCCATATGATTGGTTTGATTTTAAAGAGGTTTACTGTTACTGTTTACAAATTAAGGGCTGTACTTATATTTATTTAACATATTTTATATTGAAATAAATTACATTAGGTTGCCAAATAAATTACGTTAATGCATCCTCGCGTCCTTTGTGTTTAATGAAAACCAAAAAGGCAAAGTTTTGAAACATTGAATATGCGAAAACGTGTCCGTGTATGAAGTTTTTGTTTCGCTTTATTTAATAGAAATAAGCTTTCAACAAATAAGTTATATAATTGGAAAAAGTGCAACACATATTTTGATGAACATTTATGATTTTTCCAACGTTTTCATGATAATTTCTATATAATATTTTTAAACGAACACAAACATTTTAAAATTAAAATTTAAATAACATTCTCCGTTGCCACAGCTTGCGTCGACGAAAATCAAAAACCATTTCTGAATGAAAGAGGAATGAAATTTTATATTCATAATATTATTTTGTTGCGAACAAGACGTCTAACAGAGAGGTACGAATATACCATAGACAATGCAAGGACTATTTCATGCGTCATTACTCTCTGGATGGACGATTCAAATTGTGTACAACGTATGTTTTATTGTATAAAATAAATTTATATTTCCCATTGAATACTAAACAGTGCAGTGCAAGCTATTTATTGTGTGTTAATCTATTCCAGCTCGCAACTAAAGTTTAGATCGATTGACTACGTGTTGATAGGAAGTCTTGATGACTTTTGTTACTAATACGATGTATTGAAATAAATGATCTTTGAAGTTACGATTGTAACAGCATAAGCTTAAAACAGAGTCATTCTTAGAATACCGACTTTAAATGTAATTTCAAAACCTTTCTACTTTTATTAAAAAGGAACTCAATTTACTATTTTAATGTTCTTATCTGAATAATTTGTTGTGTTCGTTTATTTTAAATAATATGCACACACACATAGACTCACACACACACACAATCAATCAATATATATGTATATATAATTCAGTGATCTAATAACACTATATCATATAATAACGGAACTCTGATCCGGCGGAGGCTAGTCGTGTCACCTTCGTGACTGAACGGTTTGTAAAGCTGTGTGTACACTGACACACATGCAGAACAAAAACTATATATAGATATAGAGATATACATATACTGTATATACTGATGTATATAACATATTATATACTTCTCTGACGTAAATAAAACTTAATAACAATATAAAGTTATAGCCATCATGTCAATTTTGTTGACACTAACTCTTTTTTTTTATTTTAATGTCGATTTTATTGAACGTTGACATTTGCAGAATATTCCACGAATCCAATGTGAATCAAGCCATCCCAAAAAAAAAATACACTACGCCGTCTATCACCATTCAGTTAATATAAAACCTCTTATATAATATTTATATCCAAAATCAAAGTTAATAAAATATATATAAATCCACCCAGCTCTGTGCTGTCTGTACAGCTTTACCTTATATTATCTTGTACTGATATAGATCGACACATGCCACGCTCCGACTTTGAAATCCTCAACCAAAGTGACGTGCTATTTGTTGAATGATATTTGCTCTACATTACGTCATTACTAAATACTTATTAATTATATATGTATATAGTTCTATTATTAGAAATATTTATACATTTGTGAAGTCGTCACTTATGTAAGTAATCGATATTTCAATGATACTTATTCTCAGTTTTGAGGAACGCCACTATATTTTCATACATACATAATTTCCCAGCTATAGCCAGGGTCTGCCTTACATGTTGTGAATAGTTTTGGATAATTGTTTTTACGACCGGCCGCCTGCCTGACATCAACCCTCTTTGGGAATGCATTAATCAGTGATGTCTAAATATTCTTAGAAAGTACATAAGACTCGGAAAAATCACATTGGTACTTGCCAGGGCCATGATCGCATCCGCGCCCTCGTGCATGAGAGGCGGACCTTATAACCACTAGGCTACCACTGACTTATATTTTCATACATACATATTACACACTAATTGTAAGTATTAACGTAGGTTAACGAAAACATTGAAATATATCGTATGCAGTCTAAAGGTATACTGGTAGTAATATTATTTGATTTTAAATTACCTATGACATTTAACAAGGGGTCCACAATCGTTATCTAGTTTCAAAGGTTTCAGAGGTCGTTATTTCTCGGACTCAGATTACCAATTCTCATTGTTCGAGAGAAAGTTCACTTATTGGTTAACTGGTTGAAAATTGCTTGTTACCGGAATCTAATTTCTTACTAGTTTATATAGTAATGGAGTTTATTTAGAAAAACGACATTATAAAGAAAAATTTGTTAATATTTTTTGGTTTGTTTCTACAATTAATTGTTACTACAATATCGTGTTATGTCTAAAAACAAATATGTTTCTCTCAGAAAATTATTTATAGTAATATTTGCGGTAATGCGTGAGACGACCCAGTTAGTTGAACCTATGACATTTATTGAACGTTCATAAATATATGTACTGTGATGTTTTGAAACAACGAATGTTATATGACTTTTCGGTTTTTATTTTTACTCAAATACCTATATTGTTATTGCACAATAGAATTGGTAAAACGAATGTTTAATGTACAGACACAGTGCTGACGTTTATTGCTGGGTTATAAACTTTTATGTTTATTCATATCTTGATATTATTATTACTAAACGTATATGTATATACATAAGAAATGTTAGTGTCGATTTGTGGTATTAAAAGAAATTCGTTTTGGTTAAAGACTATGAAAATGGCGTACTATTTTCATCTTTTGTCTGCTTTTCCGGCTTAAAAGTGGATGAGAGAGATGGTACTAAGAATACTTTTGATTTAGAAATATATTTTTATTAATATAAATTATTAAAAAAAAACTATTACTTATAAAAATTCATTTATGGCTGGAAGAAATGGCTAATAAGCCATAAGGCCGCCTTTTGTTACATCGTTAGTTTTAAGTTTGTTTTATTTTTTGTAATTGTCTGTATTGAAAGTGTGGTGTGCAAAAAAGTATTAAATAAATAAATTTAAATAGAAAATATAGAATGAAGTATTCACTAACACGAGTAGAATTCAAACTTGTGGTCTTCGAAGCATCGTTTTACAGAGTCTTTGCCAACTTTTGCTAACTTCGATTATATTTAAATTGAACTAAATTTGTGAGTGCTTTCTGTAAAATAACTTGGCATCACTAAAATGCTTAGAAAAAAGCATCAAAATATTGAAACGTAAAGACAAAACTAAATATCTTTTTAAGGAAGCCTGGAAAAAGATATACAAAATATGGTGAAGAGCTTGTAGCTGTTTTATATACATACATACGTATACATATAAATTATATATTAATTGCACATCGTAAATTATTTTCTACTACCACTTTCTCAAACTCATCAAATGCGTAAATTCCTGAATGTCAAACATAATGACACTTCTATTGTGCTATCGACGATAAATTACTTATTAATACATATAAATGAATTATTGTCTAGTTTCTTAGATACATGTGTGCAAAAAGTAATATAAAGAGCAGTCAAAAAGTTTTC